GGATATTTTGAAGCCGAAACGGCCTGTGGCGTTGGCACCCACCGCGCGGATCTGAAGCTTTATCGCATAAAATGGTTGAATTATTCGCGTTCAGCGGGTCAAAAAACCTCTGGGAACAAAATGTTGGTCAAAACGGTGCAAAAAAATTCTATGGAACAATCCCTGAATTTTGAAGAATAGGGATATGAAGTCGAAATTGTGCCGGAAGAATCGTCATTTGTCTGCACAGCAAATTTAAGAACAAGTAAATGCAGTGCCACAAAAGCATTCGAGGCGTTTGTAACCAAGATAAAATAATAAATAAATGTAGACCAAATTCCAAAAAGATACCTGCACACGTCTTGGTACGGTAGCTTTCACGGGTGTGTCGTCCATCTGTTTCAAAGCGACCACTACATTATAGGTGAGACCAGGTTTGAAGGTATCGCCTTGTTTCTCCACGTCCAGTTTCACATCGTAGCGATATGTGGAAATCTGAATAACTGTACTGTTAAACGTATTCACTCGAGAAGAACTTGATAATGCTAAAATGTGAAGAGGTCCTCGCTGACGAATCCCTCTAAGGGAACGCATTAGACCTATTCGAATGCGCCTTGGTTTCATGAAAGGCAATCTAACGAGGCATAGCGGGAATAGAAATTCTTCGGAATTCTGTGATTTTTCTGGGTCGCTGAGTCATTTGATACTTTACTTATCGTAAGATCTGGAAGGCGTGGCACCGCACCTCATTCGAACACGGCATAATATCCGTTCTTCATTGTTATTTCTACTTGGGACAATTGTTACCCCGCGTGTGCTCGAGAAAAACATGACTATAATAGCCTCAAAATGAAAATATCTCACTAAAAGTGCAACAGCCGCCGCTTTAAAGTACGAAGCCACACCCACTTCATTCCCGGGATATGAAGTGCATGTTGTTATTGTTGCTGTTGAGAATAAGTAGTGGAAGAGTCACCGGAGGGAGTTTGAACTGAACCCAGTGAAAGAAGGAGAAGGAGGAGGACCACAGATTCTCTCAAAAAGGGTGGAGTCAGCCGAACCGACAAGCTCACTCCGCACTGTTTATTCCACATAACCAAACACTTTAATGGGCAGGATATTGAAGGACAAGCATAATAATATAACATTTATCTAACCAACCATATAAACATGTAGCAGTGCACTTCCTCTGAAATACGGTGAAAGTCTTCCGGTGAACACTAGTTGCGATAATGCGAATGCTTACACAAAAAAAAAAAAATATACCGATAAATCATGAAAAATCACAACCACTCACTCAATGCACATTCAGGCAAGGTCACTCTGAAAGTTAGAAATAGTCGTGCAAGGTCGCATGAAACACTATAGTAAGTAGCGAAAGTATGCGTATTACACTGCAAAAGGAGGCGGGTTTGATAACTACGTAAGTAGAATTCTTCGAGGCTAGAGTACTGTCCATACCCTCTATACTCGACCTTTTTTGAAATTAACGATATTCTTCCGCCTTCACTTATCCAGGGAAAGATGAAATCCGCTGAAAGGAGCTCTCCATGGAATCACCCTGTGGGTGGGCTCTCGAGTATAGACTGGTACGTGCTCATTAGTTATTAGTTGGATGAGGGAAGAAAAGAGCAAACGTGTCCATAAAAATGACTTTGGGAGTTGACTTTGAGCACTCTGGAACATACTATGAAGGGATAGCTTCTAGCGTATGTACTTCACTAGCTTCCAGCTTAAGTACTTCTTATTCCCAAGCCCAAAACCGAAAAAAACCCCATTTTGTTTTGAACCTGTCTGGCTTAAAAGGGAATGTTCCTCTCAGTTAGTTCTGGACTGGAAGTAAAAGAAGGAAGGGGGAATAAATCAGTATATCGGACCACTAATGTACGAAAAGGTTACAGCACTTCCCACAAAAATCGGGAAAAAGTTCGAGAAATTTTGGGAAGCGTTACCTGCACTAGTTTATGCTTCTTCATTTCGTCATTCGTGAACACAACAGTTGCTTCGCCCATGTTGTTCAGCTTGACGGTACGCTCAATCTGTGACTCTTCCTCGACCTAGGAATTTCACACTAAGGTTGTTAATCGTGGAGCCATTACTGCTCTAACTTGGAATCTTCATGGAAGTGTTTATTGACATCGCAGAGTAGACAACTCAGCCTCTGAGAACGCCGGTTAGGAGATCCACGTTGCCGCAATGGAACAAAAGAAGCGCACAAGTGGAAATGAGTGGCACTGGCAGCTTGAGTTAGAGAGAAGATTAGGGATTACGCCGCTACGTGTGCTGACCTAATTTCGGCACGCTCGCAGCGCGGATCTCGTGACCGAAAACCTAGTCTACAACCTGTACAGATCGTTTGCTTACCTGAGAAGTGGTTCCGTCATCGTTTACAATGATTGGCTTTGGAATGGGATGCCATCGATGCCATGGCAGCTCAAGGGTGACCTTCGCCTTGCCGGCAACGCCTTTTCCATAAGTGTACCTAGAGAGATCGGATTAAATCGGTGTGTTGAATTGACACCTACAACAAGGAGTAACATTGGATTTTTCTGGAAATTTCGAAGGGAGGCACGCTTCTGCGAGATCCCCACCCCGAAATGAAATATACGAGTTTCAGAAGAAAAAAAACTGAGAAAGTCATGGGTATCACTAATTGTAAGCCGATATGCGCTAAAGGCCTACTCATGCATTCCGTACTGGTTTTGTGTGGCGGAGCCAGCTTATTGCATTGTGTCCTTTGTTTCTAAAACGATAAAGGGGAGGGACACGGCAGTTAAGGATGGTTGCAATGGCTCTGCCCACACAGTGTGCTTGGAATCTATCACTGAGGGTGAATCCTTGAAGATTTCAGATGAGATTCCATTTTTATCAAACTCTCGACGTCCACTCTCCTTTCCGTCAGCATCACTAGGTCATTCGTTGGGCCTCAAATTAAACTCACTTTGCATCAACAAGTAGCGAGAGGTCGTCATTGACTGTGATGAACGACGGCGTCTTGATATTCACCTCGAACTTCGGCAGGACGTACTACAACAAAGAAAATTAAATACGTCATTCATGGACTGTGAACCCTTATTGGCTGCGCGAAAAGAAGGGACAACCTGAACTCTATAAAAAAAGTCCTTTCGCTTTCATTACCTTTTCGACTGAGAATGTTTTCGTGTATTTGAGTTTGTTGGCCGTTTCCACTTGAATCTGCCATTCGCCAAGAGGTGGCTCCGAGGCCAATTCCAGTTCCGATGAAAATACTCCTACAAAATGGGTAATTAATCAGAGAAAACGTGGAAGTGCGTTTCCAGTGATCAAGGTTTTTTTACACCTCACAACCATAAAACGTTCAAGTCATAAAGTACGGTATTGCTAGCTGCGGATGCTGGGGCGCGCCAGTAGCTCTGTGATTGTCGTAGCCCCAGCTCGTTCTCCACCAACTGTGGAAGGTGTCAGGCGACCGCAATTGGTGGGAAACCGGCTGAGGCCACGACAAACCCAGCTTCTCCTCCTTCCAATGCCCCAGCGTCCGACGTTAACAAGACTGGTTGCACAGCACTGGCACAAGAAAGAACGAACCTTTTGTGAGCGCTTTGTCGACGTACTGACTGATCACATTCTGGTTGGGATCATAGATCTTCACCGTGACGGTGTCCTTATACGGTGTTAATGAAGGCGAAACGACAATCACTCGATATTTTACTGAAAAATAATGGGGTCTAGATAGGCTGGAATCGAAGAATCTGTAAGTAAGGTATGTGGATGATTGAGAGGTTGCATGTATTCGATAAACCTTCAGATCCTGAATTTCACTCGACCCTCAAAAATGTTCCACTCCCGGAGTTTTTTCCTAGCAAGTTAACAACAAGCATCCGTCAGCAGCGGCAACTTTTTCGGACAAAACACACGTTAGATGCGCTTGCAGGGACCCTGCCGATGGGGAAATTTTATCTCTAGTACGCCCCCCCAGGTATCTCCCACACCCTTTTCCCCCCGCATATATTCTTATCCATCGTTCCACTTCCCGGCAACTCATTCTTATCCCAGTTTTCTGAAAATAAGACGCCGAGAAAGTTCAACCAATCGAAAACAACATCCTTCTCACCTGAGCCCATCTCTTCAACTCCGGCCTACACTCGATCCCTGAGATCGGGTAGGCGTGGCCGCATGTTTCAACTTACCCTTAAGGCGTCTACGCTTCTGATGCGATATTTTCATCTCGACACAATCGTTGTCGTGTCTCTGTCCAACACAGAACAAGATGACAGTTGTCCCAGACTGGAATATTCCACTAGTAACCAGTTCTTACAGTGTTCGAATGCTCCGCCTACCCGATCTCAGGGATTTCGAGTATACGACCCCTCCGCTGGCGATCGTAATGTACGGCGTGCTCTGGAAGGGGGAGGGATGACTCAATTGTGGCACCAGGAGCCCCTACTCATGATTTGCCTCGCCCTCAAAGAGCTATTCGTCAACAAGGTATTCAGTGATAATCTGTTCCATGTGAACATTGGAGGGAACCACAGTGGTCTGTGATTCACTGCAGACTTAGCAGTAGTCAGGAACATTGCGTGATTCAACGGCTGATGGCAAAACTGGTACTGGTAATTGCGGTGGTCGTGAACAAATTGGAACGTGTAAAAGAGCGCTCAACGACGTTGGTCCTCAACACAAAGGGGTGACTATTGCTCAAAAATGATCACTGTTCAGCAAAGACGCGCTTTGGCGAGCGCACTGTTCACTGGTTGTGTGATTCACTCGAAGTGAATAACCACTTCCGATACTAGCTCTTTAGAAAGACTTCATTGCATACTTATAATAGTCCGAACCGATCGCCTGTACGCGCGCAGGCCTATCATCAAACTTTACTTGTTAACGTAGTTATCCTCTTCGAAGAGCAAATCGCACCGACAGGGAAGGCGGAGCAGTAGGCCTAACCCGCCCATACAATCCCTGCAAACTATGAATGTAAAAGAAATCATTCCAAGCAATTACTTGAAGAGAAATGTGATAGGTGTGTGTAGAACGCAGTGCTTCTTAGAAGCGAAGCCCGGCCATATAGACGACAAAGGTTCTGAGTTACTCGACAGTGCAGAAAAAAAGCAAAAAAAAACATGCCAACTGTCCTAGATAAAACCCCATTTCGATCCCAGTTT